CCCGAGGGCGCGGACGAGCGGCGGGGGCCCGAGCAGCCCCGCGACCGCCCCCGGAGCCCCGCGCGCGCCGCCCTCGAGCGCGAGCACGTGCGCGCGCACCTGCGGGCCCGCCTGAAGCTGCTGGAGGTGGGGATCCTGCTGGAGCGGCTGCAGAGCGAGGTGGACTCGGTGGAGGGCGCCGTGGGTCAGGGCCGCTGCGGGAGCGGCGAGGCGGAGGAGCGGGTGCTGAAGCTGTACGAGAAGGCGGAGAGGAAGGCCGCCGAGGTGGCGCGGATGGGGCGGAGGATCGTGGAGCTCCACGGCCAGATCGACAGCTGCGGCTTCTCCTGAAGGACGCGGGCGCGGGTAGGTGTCGGGCGGCTGCGCGCCCGCGAGGGACTCGCGCCGCCCCGCCTGGGAGTGCACGGCCGGGCGGAGGGGGCACGGGGTGGGGGGCAGACACAGGGTCGCGCTTTTAACGTTGGCAATCAGAAGAAAGCAGTTAGTACGTTGTTGTGAAACGTGACGATCGTTTGTAGTAAAGCAGTTGCAGGCAGGCGGGGCCTGGGGTGAAAGCGTAGGCCGTCGGGCGAACGAAGGACGAGGGGGCCAGTTCGAGAAGCGCTTCCGATGACCTTACAGCATTTTTTAAATTTGTATTTGTTTATTTTGAGAGAGAGGAAGCATGTGATGGGGAGCCAGAGAGAGAGAGAGAATCCTAAGCAGGTTCTGTGCTGTCAGTGCCGAGCGGGACGTGGGGCTGGAACTCATAAACGGTGAGATCCTGGTCTGAGCCGGTAGCTTAACCGACTGAGCCATCCAGGCCCCCAGACCTCACAGCATTTTGCACGGGTGGTTGATTGAGTTCCTTTGACTCCGGATATGCGAGTCTTAGAATTTCAGTTGTGACGGTTAATTTCCCCACTCGTACTCTAGACTGACTGCTTGGAGAGGCTGTAATCGAGAGTGTTTGGTTTTCTCTCCCTTATTTTTCTATACTTTCACTATGTTAAACACTAAATCTCCAGCATCATTCTGGGGAAATGGTGTCAGTATTACATATGCGGGTATGATTATGATTATTAGGTGAATTCCGTTTCAAAAAGACAGCTTATAGGTAAGTACTCTTAACGTAAAGGAATAGGGTCTAGATTGGAAGCTGCTGTGTGGTCATATTCGTTACTGTGTTTTTAAAGTTCCAAAATAACATTTTTTTGCTTTTTTTTTTTTTTTTTTTAATGCTTCCTGGAATTTGGGGAACCCATGAAAGAAACTTGAGGTCGGAGTTCTGCAAGAGAGAAGACGCTACTTGGCTGCAGTTGCTGAAGCAAGAAGCCAGACCCCCTTCAGGGATGTGGACGCCACCGCTTTGGATCAGATTGAGAGGGCCCCCGGTGAGATCGGGGGCTGTTGGGCACGGAGAGCGGTGATGTCTGCGTTTTGGGATTCTGCAGTCCATCAGCTTGGAGCAGGAGAGCTGCGTTCTTTTCACTTTCTTTGTTTGGTTTTTTCTTTTCTTTCAGAAATGTAATTTTTCTGTGGCCTGTAAACTGGTGCACATCGTGTAACGTGTCTGGTGAGCAACCTAGACTAAAGGATGAGATCTAGGTACTGTGAGTCTTGGCTGACTCTGAGATAAACTTTTTTGATCTAGTCAGGCATTTCAGGAGCTTCTCTGCCACAACTGCACGTGATATTTGCATGGCTTGGAGGGTTTGGGGAGGACAGCCTGGCGCTTACTGGGGTGGCCCCCAAACTGATAGCAGGGAGCATCTTCCAGGCTTACAGGACCTCTGGCCGAGGTCCTCAGAGCAGAGCTCACAGGAACTGAGAGCAGGGCTCTAGCTTGTGATAAAGTTCGTTTGCCTGGAAAACAAGCATTGAAAGCCAGTTTTTGGAATCTTTGTGCAAACTACCAAAGCCATTGACTTGGCTGGGAAAAGGTGAGATAAATAAATTTTTTTCACAATGAAAGTTTCTCTTTGATTGTCATCCTTTTCAGATGGAGGTCCAGTGCTTCTGATTCAAAGCCTGTGGGCCAGAGGGAGGTTTGATCTGCAGGGAGAGAAGCCAGAGCAGGAAGGGGCCCCGTGAAAGTATTTGGTCTGGCCTCTGCCTTCGGGGAGCTGAAGTTCATTCAGTCACTTAACTTTCGCCGTGACCATGTGTCGCGTTAGACCCTGCTGGACACTCACAATTTCCAGGAGAGATGAGCTCAGGTTGAGACAGCTCTGTAAACATACAATCGCAGTCCAGTGCCCCCTGTGCTGGTTTTCGGTTAACCACGTAAGTTGAGTGTCCGCAGATGCTGGGGGTACATCCGTCAACAGAGTGCTTATCCACTTGGGTCTGATATTTGTAAGCTTAGAACAGTGCCTCATCGTTGTAAGGCAGGAAAAAAACGTGTGTGTGTGTTGGGTAGTGGTAATTTCTGTAGAAAACAGAAGTGGGGATTAGGTGCGGGGGAGGCATTGCTCTTTATATAGGATGGTCAGATGACACATACGAAGACGTTTGAGCAAAGACAGGTTGTGTGGAATATACGCGAGGGCACCTAGGGAAGGAGTATCCTGTAGGTAGGTGGAGCGAGCAGGGCAAAGAGGTGAGGACCAGCGTGTGGCCCAGGTAGCATGGGAGACGATGGCAGGCCGGCGAGGTCAGAAGGAGCCATCACCCTGAGTGCAAATGACGTGGAAATGGTTTGAAGGTCTACGTGGAGTAGCAGCAGCATCTGAGCGGGTCTGAGGAGACTCCCTGGCCGCTGGGTTGAGAACTGCCAGTTGGGCGAGCAAGGGTGAGAGTGGGCAGGCAGCCCACAAACTGCTGGGGGTGGCCGGGGCAGAGTGGTTGCTGCAGGCGCCGGTGGGCATGTGGACCGCACTCTGAAGATGTCACCAGGGGACTGTGGGTGCGCGAGGATCCAGCAGTGGTTCTGGGGTTCGGGGCCTGAGTCCCTGTTGAGGGTAGCCATATGTAGCCGTATCATTTGCCAAAGTGGGGCAGTCTTGAAAGTGAGAGGTGGCCCTAGTAATAATGTGGTTTGGGACCACAAGTGTAAACTGGCTCTGGCAGACAAGGAGGTATAGGTAGGTACCCTGTGTTTTTAGTATGGTGGGAGCACTAAAGAGGGAGTCCACTGAGCATCGGGAGCTTGAGAAAACTTTTCAGACGAAGCGAGTCTTGGTTTGGGCCCAGAAGCGTGAGCTCAGATGCCTGAACAGCACTCCGGGCACAAGGAACCGGCGTCCCGTAACCGACCCCGAAAGTCTGTCAGTAGGTAGAAATGTGACGTGATGGAGAGGGTTTGAGGGTGTTTGCGGGGAACGGGGAGGCGGTGAGGGGGCTAGAGGGCATGGTTGTAGCGGTTCACGTACGACTTTTGTAGAGTTTAAACTTGACCGTGTGTGTCCATGCTTCTCCCCCTGGGGAGTCTGTGCTCCGGGCCGCACCTGGACATGCCGTCCAGTACTCCATAGCAGGGGTTATGTTGGTATATTCTGAATACTCAGCATTTTTGAATGCGTGACTAATTTTCAAATGACCTACCGCTCGCTAAAGAAGTCTCACAGTTGGGGCTGCTTCTGGCTGTGGGCCGGGCCCCTGCAGCAGGGCTATTCAAACTTAACGAGCAGCTGAACCCTTGGGGTCTCCTCAAAATGCAGGTTCTAACCTGTAGTTAAGGGCCTGGGGTGGGGGGGGTGAGTTTCTAATAAGCTCCCCAGTGATGCCTATGCTGCCGGTCAAGGTACCGCATTCTGAGTCCCAAGGCTGTCGAGTTAAGCATGGTTGGCTGAAAACAATCGAGAAGTAGAGTGACGGCGGGACGTGGAAAGATTTGAGCAGGTCAACAACACTTTCACGTTTGTAGTTTAAGAAACGGGCACATGGGGCGCCTGGGTGGCGCAGTCGGTTGGGCGTCCGACTTCAGCCGGGTCACGATCTCGCAGTCCGTGAGTTCGAGCCCCGCGTCAGGCTCTGGGCTGATGGCTCAGAGCCTGGAGCCTGTTTCCGATTCTGTGTCTCCCTCTCCCTCTGCCCCTCCCCCGTTCATGCTCTGTCTCTCTCTGTCCCAAAAATAAATAAAAAACGTTAAAAAAAAAAATTAAAAAAAAAAAAGAAAAAGAAACGGGCACATGGTTGTGGAAAATGGACAAGGCAGGGGTGTGGAGTGAGGTCGGGGATCTCACCGTTGTGATTGCACAGAGGGGAAATGACTGAACCCACCTCCCTGCCTTTAACTTCCTTTGCCTGCTTGCGCTGTCACTCCTGGAGTTCTAGCCATTTCCTGTCCAACCGGCCCCTGAGCCTGCGGTCCTTTTATTAGAAGGGCAGTCGTGCGCTGTGCCGTGGCTCTTGGCCAGTGAGTGATCCCGGGAGGACTGTGAACACGGCCAAGCAGGGCTGGCGTTGCCAGGGTTGAGGACTGAGGGTCTGCACCCCCCTCTCTGGAAGCACCAGCCTCTGAGGTCCCTCACCTGGCTGTCCCCTAAGGCCAGACAGTGGGTGACTGTGCGGCAGGGTCACATGGAGGGTGGGGGGTGGAAATGGGGATTCTTTGGGAGTCCGTTTCCTTTTCTAAACGCTGGTGATCGGTATTACTACCTTTGTACTCATGAATAAAGTGTTTCCAAGACGTGAATGGGATGGAATAGGTCAAATGCTAAACTCAAGGAGCTCAAAAGTGAAAACTGCGTTGATCCTGTTCTCGCTGTCAGCCCACAGCCAGGGTCCTATGGCTCCCGTCTGGGGTCAGGACCCTGGATGTGTGGAATGATAAGACAAAAGTCTGGATTAGAAGAATCTCCTTGGCATTCGGCACTTAACATACGTTATCTGATTTTCACAAACTCGAGCGATCATTTTACTGTCCTCGTAGTTCAGGTAAGGAAACTGGGGCTGCAGGAACCTTCAGGAACTGGCTCTGTGACCCTGGGTGGGCAACTCTGGGCCACCGTAAGATGATGGTTTGGCACTGTCTTGTCTTTGAGCTTCCTTGGGGCCTTGACATTCACCTGGTCTCCAGTTCACGTAAGGAACCAGCCAGCTCTTGGACAGTCTCAGCCCTGGCCCTTGAGGCAGAGCTTTGAAGGCCTGTGTGTGTCAGGAGGCCTTCTGGGCTTTGGGAGCTCACGGGGAGGTCCGGCTCCCCTGGGACATGCACACGGGTCCTGTATCTGGACCGAGTCTGATTGGACAGAGGGCGGCTGGGTTCCTCGCAGGCCTGAGACGTTCTCCGGAAAAGGGCACTGAACAAATGATCTTTGATCTTCCTCCACCCCCACTCCTAGGTCATCTGGGGACACCCATGATGCAGTTCTTGGATAGCCCGAGGCGCCCTGAACTCGGGCTGGGCTGTACAGTCGGGTCATTGATTCAGCGTCACCGAGAGTCACACGTTCACCCACATTCCTCAGCTCCCTCAGGCACAGCTTCATTCCCTCCGCTCCGCCACTCAGGGACGGACGGAGAGTTCCTCAGTGTTTGTTTCAGTCCCTTGAAACATCCCTGCCTGACCCAGCAGTCCTCTTTCGGGCCGGTTGAACTCCCTCCGATGGTGGATTGTCGGTTTGTCCCTGTTCTTCTGTCCCCTCTTTGTTCAGGCCCTTTGAAACTGTGTCAGTGGGCACTGATTAGAAAGGCCCTCCCTTCCTGTTGGAACTTGGATCGTGTGGTGACCCTCCGTCCGGCACTAGTTTTGGTCTGCGGTCAGCCGCCCCAGCTCGCTTTTGCTTTGTGATTTTTGGTCATTTTCGCTTCAGTCTCTCTGTGCCTCGACATTTCATAAGCGCGTCTTGATTTTGTATGTTTTGGATTTTTTATCCAGGTCGACGCTCTCTTGTGTTTTGGCTTGAGAATGACATCCTTGCGCGTCTATTGTAATTGCGATATATGCGGATTTAGGTTTACTATCTTATTCTGACCCGTTCCACATTCCCATTTCCTTTCTTGCCTTACTATGGAGTAAGTTTTTTTAAATTCTTTTCTCCCCACTTTACTGGTTTAAAACTCATATACTCTTTTCCTATTCCTTTAATTATCCCCTTCAAAATGTGTACGTGCATAATTAGCTTACCAGAATTTAAAGTGGATGGTATCTCTATTGTCCTAAAATACGTAAGGATGTAAACACTAGGATATGCGATCTTTCGTTCATTTGTTTTTTGAGAGAGGGAGAATCCCACGCAGGCTCCACACTGTCAGCGCAGAGCCCGATGCAGGGCTTGAACTCAGAGGCCATGAGATCATGACCCGAGCTGAAATCCAGAGTAGGACGTTTAACCCACTGAGCCACCCAGGCGCCCCTGTGTGGCCTTATTCTTGGAATATGGTTTTGCTGGGTGTGTAATGAGAATTCAGGTATCTCTTGGAACCAGCTCCGTGGTCAGGACCATAGAGTGGAAAGGACCCCAGGGTGGGCGGGCTTCGGCAGTCTCCAACCCCAGCTCCTTAGTGCTGCTTGTTTGGCTGTTCCCTAGCCTTGACGATCATGTGATGGCCCCAGGGCCTGTGCACAGGTTGTTGCCTCTGGAACACTGCGAACATTCCACCGTATCCAAAAGGGAGTAAGAATGGAGAGAGAACACAGAGCACTCTGAAGGAATTCTGCTGTGGAGTGGAGCAGAGAAATGGGACCGGGCAGTGGCTCAAGGGAGGGTTTCTTCCTTTCTTTGATGATGTGTGACATGGAGAGAGGCGCCTGTTGGTGGGACCGACCTGTGTGACGGATGACGCAGGCCGAGCATGGCCCTGGCAGCGGCTTGCCCCTCTGGCTCCCCACGACAAGTCCGCGCCTCTCTCTTCCCCGCCAGCCTCTGGTTGAGTTAACATAGGCTTCCCTGCAGTTCTGTCTGAAACCAGCAGCCAGAGGCGCCTCAGCACTGACGTTCCATTTCTAGAACATTTCCTTTGGGAACATTCCAACCACGGTCCACATGCCCCTTACCCAGCACCTTCCTGCTTCCCCTGAGAGGCCTGAACTCCACGTGCTTGGGGACCTGCAGCCCTGCTGAGGCACTCCCGTCGCAATTGGTCCCACAGCTCACCCTGCCCTGCCCCACCCTCCCCTCCATGGCCTCTTGGGTCCCTCTCCCTCCTGGAGCAGTCCCACTTGATTCTGGGGTTCCGTGTTGGATGGTAATGGATTTATGAACCATGAACCAGGGTCGCCCCCCTCCTGCCCCCGTCTCCCCCAACGTCTCCTGGGGCGGTGACCTGAGAAGCCCACACAAGATGTCAGAGTTGTGGCTTTCTGGTGGAACAGCCACTCACCTGGCTTCCCTGGTGATGCCGGGGAGCTCACCACCCCTCCGCTTCCCCCCGGACCCCGAGCGGCCCTCTGCCCACAGCTCAGAGGCCTCGGCACCATTCGGCAGACTCGGGCTGTGCCTGCCCCAAACGTCACCCAGCAGGTACCTTGTGGTGGCGAGGTGGGCGTGCGGGTCAGCCCCTAACCGACACGGAGGCCCTCCCGTCATCCGCGTAGGATGTGTCAGATCCATTCTGTCCCTTCCCACAAACGGACAGCCCCTGGTGACAGCTGTGCTTGGTGGACCCTGAGGTCTTGGTCACAGCCGCTCAGCCTCAGTCCATTAATGCAGGCCCCCTGCTGGCAGGTTAGCGGAGGGAAAGCGCAGGGTTAGACCCCGGCAAAGCACGCCTTCCACTGCAGCGCTGATCTAAGCTAGACCACGAGGTGGTGTCCTTGGATGTGAAAGATGGCCAAGGTGTTTGCTGCTGGAGCACAAGGGTGGAGGGTGGGAAGTGCGGGCAGAAGGACAGTTTGTTTAAATCTTGACGACCTTGCGCCTGGGAGAACGCTTTTAACTATGGAGACACCGGCCAGCTTTCCTCACACAGCTGTGGGGGGTCACGAGCCGGTCACGGGTGGCACGATGTGACAGGATGCCGGCCCTCGCCTTGACCCTGACCCCTTCGGCCCTGGCTTCTGATACCCGCCTGGAGCCTCCTGGCCGCCTACCTCCATCCCTGTCCTGACACCCCCCGCAGCTCCAGGGTTGGGCCCCCTACCCCAGCCTTTGCGGAGCTCCCAAGCCACCTGTGGGGCAGCCCTGTGGGAGCGGTGCCATGGGAGGGAGGCTGGAAGGATGGGTAGAGGCTAAGGAGGCTGTCCCCAAAGGGACCAGGAGAGGAGGAGGAGGCCGCGCTGAGCACTTGCCGGGAGGGGTTGGGTAGAAAAGCACCTGCGGATCAGGGTGGACGATGGCGCTTGTGAGCCTGAAAGGAAGGACATAGACTGCCACGCGGGCGGATTCCTGGAAGCTGGGGCACACGCAGACACTTCTGGAAGGAATCACGAGCACCTGTCAGTACTTCCCTTGGAGCAGGGGTGCTGGGCAGGGCAAGTGTTCTCGGTCCTGGCCCGTGCCTTCTAGTCCTGCTGGGCCCCCAAACCGCTCAGGAGCCACCTGTTGTGTCAACAGAAGTTATCCGAGTGGGAAGGGCAGGGTCCGTTATTTTGGTTCTTTTATACTTCCCTAGATGTAAAAAGCAAAATAATACTAAAATCGTAAATACAAAATAAAAAAAAGTTTTAAGGTCTATTTTTGAGAGAGAGAGAGGGAGCGAGTGGGGGAGGGGCAGGGAGAGGGGATCTGAAGCGGACGCCGCGCTGACAGCCGCGAGCCCAGTGCCAGCAAAGGGTTCTCCTCTCCGCGTGCTTGCTAAGCCGAACCCGGAGTGGGCCAGCGCCTGGGAAAACTCAAATCGCCGGAGTGCACAAAAGTCCGAGTGTCGGGCAAGGAAGGGGAGCTTGGCTGCCCAGCTCTCGCAGGAATGTGTGCCCGGTGGGGTTTCCGAGTTAGGAACAGAGCACGGCCGTCGGGAATTGGCTCACAGAATTGTGGGCACTCGGCAAGCGTAAAATCGCGGGGCCGGCCCGCAGGCTGGAGATTGAGAGCAGCGTCGATGTCCGTCTTGAGCCCACTTTCTGCAGGCTGGAAACGGGCCGTGCTTCTGTTCTGCGGTCTTGAGTAGAATTCCTTCCTGTCCCTTGCTGTCCTGGAAACCTCGGTCTTTTCTCTTGAGGACGTCCGCTGTTTGGGTGAGGCCCACCCACGTGGCGGGTCACCTGCCTCCCTGCAAGTCCACTGAGCAGTATCTTTGCAGCAACACCCAGACTGGCGCTGGACCCCGTCGTCCAGCCAGGCTGACACCTAACAGCGCCCGTTGCAGCCGTCAACGGGCAGCCTGTCCCTCCCCATCACAACCCTCAGGTTACGCTTCATCTCGAGGGGAAAACTGAGCTCCCAGAGGTCCCCCACGAGTACGCGGCAGAGCCAGACTCAAACCCAACCCTGTCGACCCGGGCACCGGCTCCCCTGCCCCCCATCAGAGAATTCGGCCCGGAGCCTGACGCTCGGCCCTGGCGGGGCTGGGAAGCGGAGTTTGGGGGACAGGCAGCCTGCAAGTGTGGGACGAGCTGACTTCAGGCATCACAGTGGCTTCAGTGAGGCCACAGCCTCTCAGCTCCTCTTCCTCTGTGTTCTCGAGATCAGCCCTGCCCTGTGTTCACACAAGACCCACCTAGGGGAGGGGACGAGCCCCGCTCACACAGGTCAGGATGCCGGGTCCCACGGCCGGCTAGCGGGGCGGCAAGGACCATCTTGCAGGAACCGGACGAAAGGGCCCGGGAGACGGAAAACCACAGGTCACTGCGAGGCTCCTGCTTTAGCTCGAAATTTTCTGTGAGCTTCTCGACCTAAATAGGAATATTTTTAAGACCCTGGTTGTTCCAGAACAGCGCACCCTGTGCACCCCAAGGATAATGGGCACCTTGAAAAGGTGGGACTCAGGAGTTCAGAGTCCTGGAGCGGGTCTAATCTGAACCGTTCATTTTACAGGTGAGGAAAGTCGTCCTACAGGGGCAAAGGGACGCGCCAGTCACTCAGCGTGTCAGCTGCCCAGCGGGGCTAAGGCCAGGTAGGCCCCAGGCGCCCAGGGACAGGAGACAGGTTCCTGCCACCACTCTTCCCAGCATCCCCTGTGCTTCTGCTTAAAAGGCAGATCGTGGGGCAGAATTGGGGCTAGTGTCGGGGATCCCACGAGACAGACACTGGAAGGACGTGAACATGTGAGAGTCAGCCAGGCAGGGGGTTAAATATGTAGAAAGGTGTCTGGAGCCCCCTTTACCTCAGCCAGCCTGGATTTTACTCTGAGCAGCCCAAACGGTCACGGCTTTTCTGATCCCTATCACCTGCAAGTCTTGACTCGCAGAAGAAAACTCCGCAAAGTTTCCTAAGGTGTGGCTCTGGAGGAGGCCCTGAGCCCCTGCGTCGGGGGCTGTAGGGCATCAGAGATGACAGTGAGGGTGGGCTTTTTTCTCTCCGTCGAGGCCCTTCGGCAGCGTCCACATAGGCAGAAATCGGAGGTAAGCGGCCTGCAAGCCCAGGGATCCCGAGGACTTCAGGCAGTCACCGGAAGCTAAGAGAGAGGCAGGGAACAGTCTCCCTCTGAGGCCCCAGGAAGAAACCAGCCCTGCTGACAGCGTGAGTTTGGACTTGCAGAACTGTGGGAAGACCCATTTCCGGTATTCTCTGCACCTAGTTTGTGGTCATGGATTACAGCAGCCCCAGAAAGCTAACACAGCCAATTGGGAATGCTTCCAGTCACGAGTCACAAGAATCCATCATGGCCTCATCCACATGGTGGCAACGTGGCTGCTGCTTCTCCGGATGTCACTTCCAGCTTTCAGAGGGAAGACCAGGGGAGACTGGAGAAAGGTTTGCAGGTGGCTGCTCGGGGGCCCAGGGCTCACTGCCACCTTCCCAGGAGTCCTGTGCCCGGGGCGAAGACAGGGCCTCTGCCCTCACAGCTACATGGTACATGCATGACCCCTGACATTCAGCTTCTACCTGAGAAGCTCATTTCCTCAACTCTCTCAGCCTCCTCCCTCAGCAAATATTTGTCTGCTACGTTACTGAGGATCAAACCGGTTTGTGCAGTGAGAGTGGAGAGGAGCCTGGGCTTCTCGCCCACGTCCTCGCTCTGAGCCTCAGTTTCCCCTTCTGCAAAGCGTGGATCAGATGCTGCGGCCCCCTCCTCTTCCTTCTCTTTTCTTCCCCCTGTTGAGGCCTCCCCCAGTTCCCAGATGTCCTTTGGGCAGTGGCTACAGGACCCCTGAACTTTCAGGGCCGGAGGGCTCCTTACCGCGCAGCCTTCGCCCTGGCCTCCCTGCCTCCAGTCTCACCCTCCTTATCTGAAGCTCCTACCAGCTGCTGAGTTCACCTAAAAGGAAAATCTGACCTGTCTCCAGCTGCAAACCCTCCAGCCCATCTGGTCTCCACC